CACAGCTCACAGCAACCTCCAACTCCTGGGCTCAAGAGAGTCTCCTGCCTCAGCCTCCCAAGTAGCTGGGACTATAGGCGCTCGCCACAACGCCTGGCCATTTTTTTGGTTGCAGCCATCATTGTTGTTTGGTGGGCCCGGGCTGGGGATTTGAACCCTCCACCTTAGGTATATGCGGCTGGCGCCCTAGCCGCTTGAGCCACAGGCGCCGAGCCTATATATAATAACTTTAGTACAGACACATTATATCTCTGGTGTTTTAAATTGGAGCTTTCGGGCAATACCCTGATAAATCTAGGATTTATAAGTATTACCGCACACATTGTAAAATTATACACCATACACACATATTTACACTTCAAGAAACACTTGATACAAAACCAAATTTAAGATTACCAAGCATCAAATGTCTTACATGTATTGACTTCAAAATAAAGTACTTACAGAGGTACCAAGCAGATCCAAATAACAATCAGAATAAATAATATAATAAAAATATTAATAAATTACAAAAGTAGTAACCAACCTCATCTACCACAACCAGGCCCAGACTGCTGATCCTGCCAGTTTCAATCAAGGAGTTCACCAAGCTATGTCCTTTCTCAATGGTGGCAATATACAGTGATTTCTTTTCCCTTCTTTTAGTTGGAGGAAATCTTCCTTTGCTTCCAGCATATTCTTCAACAAAGAAACCAAGTTCTACACCAAAACTTGATAAACCTGAAATCTAGATTAGTTAATATAAATATAAACAAAAAAACACAGATAAATAAAAATTCTAATTATTAAGTGCTTATGGACATTCAAAAAAAACCCCAAAAAACCCAAAGCAGCGTTGGATACCGATCTATGGGAAAATAGGAACTAGGTCATACATAAGTCATACTAATCTAAGAAACGCCATAATGTGTTAATCCTTGTAAAATAAATACAACCTTTAAAATACATAATACGAAAGTAAATTTCAATTGTTTCCTTTGGTATCAAAAAGTATTCAGAACAACTCACTTATTTTTATAAAATAATCAGTTAGTTTCTGTTTGAAAAAGCAGGCTAAATATTAATAGAATACACACTAACATGGAATTTAATCCAGCAGTTTAGAAAAATAAAAAAACTTTCTACAACAGATAATTAGCATCTGAAGAGATTTTCGGTAAGTACTCTATACTACCTTTATACAGCCTAAAAATATTAATTCTTTATCATTAAGAGGCACTTCTTCTTGGTCAAAAATGTTATAGTATGCTAGTTTTTTTTTTTTTTTTTTTTGAGACAGAGCCTCAAGCTGTTACCCTGGGTAGAGTACTGTGGCATCACAGCTCACAGCAACCTCCAACTCCTGAGCTCAAGCTATTCTCCTGCCTCTGCCTTCCAAGTAGCTGGGATTACAGGTGCCTGCTATGGCTATTTTTTGGTTGAAGCCATCATTGTTTGGTGGGCCCAGGCTGCATTCAAACCTGCCAGCTCAGGTGTATGTGGCTGGCGCCTTAGCCGCTTGAGCCACAGGTGCCAAGCCAGTATGGTAATTCTTTTTATCTTAATGTCAAAATATTATTTGTTTAAAAAAACTCATACCTTGCAATCAGTGTAACCTAATTCTTTGTACTACCCTCAGTGAATCCCAAACAATAAAAAACAAACAAAACAACAACAAAAACCCTTGTACCTTTTCTTGGACAATTGCCACATATGGAAGGATCATTAAAACATCTTTCCGCCGGCAGAGCAGTTCTTGTAGCATTAAAATCTCTGCCACAAGGGTTTTTCCACCACTTGTTGGCAAAGAATATATTAAATTTTTTCTTTCTTGCACAGAATTCAATGTTAAACAAGTATGCTGCCATTCTGTGGAATTCAAACAAAAGGTATTATTTTTCCCTGCTATACTTTAAACCTCAAAAAAGTTGTGGTTATTTTTCTTTTTTTGAGACAGAGTCTTACTCTGTTGCCCAGGCTAGAATGCTATGGTGTCAGTGTAGCTCACAGCAATCTCAAACTCCTGGGCCCAAGTGATCCTCCAGCCCCAGTCTCCCCAGTAGTTAGGACTACTGGTGCCTGCCACAGTGCACAGCTAGCTTTTCTATTTTTAGTAGGGATGGGGTCTGGGGGTTGGTCTCCAACTCCTGAACTCAAGTGATCCTCCTGTCTTGTTTTCCCAGAGTGGTAGGATTGCAGGTGTGAACCACTTTGCCCAGTCAAAACCTCAAAAAAGTTTTCTGAGAAAAAAATCAAATCCATTCCTACGTGGCAATCTTAAGAGTAAATGTAATTATAATCAATGTTAAACATCAAAAAGTCCCAAATATGCAGTGAACACAGCTAGCAAGAGTCTATTTCAGGCTTAGTCAGAGTGGTAGGCGATTGCCTATCTATTCACAAGCTGCAGTCTTGGGCCTAAGTCCCCACCAGGGCAGGCAGCAGCCTGGTCAACTAGGAGCATCACTTGGGACATTGGAGGAGCAAAAGGACAGTACAAGGACCTGTGTTAATTCTAAAGTCTTCCTCCTGTGTTTTGCAAGATTATGTAAATTTCCCTTTCTTATTCACCCAAAAGCTGTCTTAGAGAGAATTAGGGGAAGGACAGAAAAAAAATCTATGAGTTTTTATATAAACCAATAAAAACTTCAACTAGCTCTCATGAGGGTCTGAACTTTGGATGAACTGAAAACCATTTTAAACTGATAAGACTGTTCATAGGATACTTTCACAATGTGGATCATCAAGTCCTCAAAACGTGAGTGCATCAGTGTTTATCACTAGGAAAATGGGTAAAATATAAGACATTTCATAGCAGGAAGAAATGCAAATAGCCAATAAATACATGAAAAGATGCTCAGCTGTTCTTTACTGGGTTAGTAAAATAAATAAAATAAAA